AGATTAATTGAAAAATAAAAATTGTTTATTTGTAAAATTTGCATGCTTCCGTCAACATCCGTTCTGTCTTGTTATTTTTTTTTTTCCTTCCTTACCCCATTTTAAGCTGTGACCGGGGTAGATAAATATTCCTTGTTTTCAAAAAGACATCTGGTCTGACTACGTGACAGCGCTTCTGACTCTCAACTTCTTCCCCAAAATATTAACACATTCAACTCGAACAGGGCTTTGACTTTTTCTAATTGCCTCGAAAGATTTTTCGTTTTTTTTTTCAAAGGAAACTAGCAGTGAAGAATAAATATTTACAAAGCATCAAGAAGACGTTCAGATTTATCGTTTTATTCTTGCTCAAAATTTCTGTATTCAAAAGCGATCAATGTTTGTAACAGTGTCCATGGCGTTATTTCAGACGTTATGGAATTGTATAATGTTTCATGTTTAATTCTTTTTTGACTTGTGTTTCACGCAGGTAAATGTTTAATATTTTAATTGTCATTTAATTTGTAAAAAAAGAGGAAATCTTTTACATACTAGAAACAAATAGCATTTAACGTCACACATTATGAAAAGGACAAAGTCTGACAATTATTTTAAGACATTTTTTACGTTTATACGTTCTTTTTATAGATACAAATATTTAAGTAAATGCTCTGTTTATAATAAACAGTATTGAAGACATTTACCGGCCTGAATGTCCGAGACATTTCATAGAAAACTACAATCATCCACGAATTTCTCATATACATTAATATCTGCTCGATGCGGATCCAAATGTAAACAAATGACGTCACACACAGGCCGGTAAATGTTGTTAATACTGTTTATTATAAACAGAACATTTACTTAAATATTTGTTTCTATAAAAAAGAACGTATAAACATAAAAAAAAAAATATATATATATATATATATATATATATATATATATATATATATATATATATATATATATATTCCAGTATCATTGTACAGCTTATTGAAATATCTTCACCCTCTCTAACCTTCTAACTTTCTGTCTTGGGGTAACAATGTGCTTCACAAGTGTAAAGTACGATTTCATTTTCAAGTCTGTTTTCACTGCTCTTTCGACTGTCATAGGTGAAACTTCTCTGTTGTGTGCCAAATATCTTATGAATTGAGTTGGATCTTTTCTAATTGATATCTTTAGGTCAAAGTTGAAATGATGGTCCATCTTCCTGTTGTGACCTGATGATCCAGTTTTTACTCTAGTGTTTCCTCATTTTTTTAAAAATGTATTCACCATTCTCTTGATGGTTCTTGAATGGAATTTGAAGATGGAAGCCAGAGTATGAATGTTGGTACTATAACTGAAAGTATTAATTATTTTTTTCTTTTACCCTTGCTCAATTGGGATGACAGTGAGTCAGACATAAAACAATTTTAACCTGCTTCCTTTTTAGCTAAATAACTCAAAGAATTTTTCACTGATTCTTACGAAAATTATGTCAAGATGGCTAAATGTCTTAACTGGAAACCTGAAAAAAACAAAAATTAATTCGTTTAGTGGTTTTTTAGATATTAAACATTTTGTGGGATGCATAACTATGCTTTAACAAGATTTGGACACTTTTATGTGAGAGGGTGCATCATTTGGCGTGATCAACTGAGTGAACAAGGCCAGCACGCATAAACCCTCGGTCACAATGACTTGTGCCTTCGTGCTGGCGTAACTACTGATGGTCCCATATACCCAATTTCACACAAAAAATTTGGATTTCCAGAGAAATTTTAAAGAGAGGAGTTAAAGGTTTAAATGTGTGAGAATATTTTTATCGTCTTGATTTCAACATCTAATTTTTTTCCCGTTTTTTCATCTAAATTGTTTTTTTGTTTTTTTTTATATCTTTACCATGGTCCCTTTATTTTTTATTATTTTTATTATTTTTATTATTATTACTAGTATTTTTAATGTTATCTTCCTCTTTTCATGTATAGATAAGGTTAGAAAATGCAAACCAGACGGAAAACATTCATATATATATCGGCATTATGAATTGGCTGGATTGTATGTTTAAATAATATCATTTTTTTTTTATTGTGCCTAATGTCATCAAAAATGTATCCACACGTTTCCGGTGTTTGTTTTTTTTTTTAATTGTAGGTCAGTGAATCGGTTGTGATTTATGCATCTGAAAATAATTCATATTTATCTGTATCTCACTCATTTAAACTGTTAACTTCTCTCTTTAAAACTTCTCTCTACGACACTACTATTTACTCCAGCCTAAATAGCAAATCTGGTATCACTCACAAAACTAACGTGGCCGTTGGCCTCGAAAAAGACCTCCAATCGGTTGTTAACTGGGGCAAGAAATGGCTGGTTAACTTTAATGCTTCAAAAACAAAACTGCTCTCTATTATCAACCAAAGAGAACCTTCCCTGCCCCCCATTAGAATACCTGATGCTCAACTCCACAAGAACACCTCCTTGCGATTGCTTGGTCTCACACTGTCCAATGACCTGAGATGGAATAATTACATTGCATCAATAGCTTCATCTATTGCAAGGAAAGTTGATTTTCTATGTCGTGCCAGAAAGTTTTTTCTCGCCCGAGTCTATCCTTCTATAAATCTATAAATCAACCATTCGCCCTTGCATTGAATATTGCTGTCATATATGGTCCGGAACCCCCGCTGTTTGTCTTAGGGTCCCCGATAAAAACCAGAGACGAATATGCAATGGGTTTGGCCCTGATCTGGCATCTCGTTTACAGTCGCTTTCTCACAGATGTGCTGTCGCCACCCTCTGTCTTTTCTACAAATACTTTCACAGTAACGCTTCGACGAGCTATTTTCGCTAGTTCCCAAATTGTATGAATGTAAACGTGACACTAGGTCGCCATCTCAGTCCCACCCTTTCACAGTCGAAACGGTTAAATGTAGCCGTTTCTTCTACTCCAATAGCTGCATCTCTAGCACTTCCCATCTGTGAAACTCCCTTCCTCTTACTTGCTTCCCTGATAGCTATAATCTCCAACTTTTCAAATGAAATGTCAATCGACATCTCCATATGCCTTGATCTGTTTCCCGCCCTTCTCTTCATCCTGTCCTCTTTCAAGCTTCTTTACTCTTGCTCCCACTTTCTGTAACCCCTTGCATGCTAGTGGCACTCCCGCCTTGCTTGGGGTAATAAGCCTAAAAAAAAAAAAAAAAAAGAAAAGAAAAAAAAAGACAAAAGGTTAAGGAGTGAGTGTCAAGTAAAAAAAAACGACGAAAAGGAGAAATAACGACTACATTCTACGTACCTACATACGCGCAGACGAGTTTCACTTCAGACGTTTAAAACTAAAACCTGCTACACCATGAACACAGCGGTGAACCCTTTTCACTTCCCATTTGTAAGGAAGTTCCATTCGGTCCACTTCTTCCCAAAAATCTTCCGGCCAACACAATCGTCAAATTTTACGACCCTACTTCCTTATGTGACGTGTCCATTCAGAGCGTAGGCGATCATGACTCTCCACGATTTCCTGTCCTTCGTTACTCTCAATAAATTTTATTTTTATTTTTCATAACCCTTGTTCAGCCATCCATTTATTCAGGCTCACTAAGTATATTATGCGATGTTTTCCTCTGTCTTTCTTGCTAGGTCTGCTTCTCCAAAACTTTTTTTCTTTTTTCCTCACCAGAATATAACTAAATCTATCATTCGCCCGTTCACTGAACATTGCTGCCACATTTGGTCTGTTGCCTCTGCTAGATATTTAGAGATTCCCAATGGAATACAAAGAAAAATCTGTAAATTTATTTGTCCTGATCTGGCATCTCATGTTAAGTAACGTAGCTCCTTTGTGAGTTTTTTTTTTTTTTTATAAGTATGTTCATGGTGATTTTTCTGTTTATTAACTTTATAAATTGTCTATATGGCAAAGAAATAAAACTTCTTAAAAACTTTGAGTCATAAGAATGGTAAGAATGTTCTGTTTTGGCTTAAGAAATACAGTGGTATGTTTCTGTCGCTAACTATGACCAGTTAAGTTTAAGATAAGACAGACTGAAGACTAGCCTTCTCCAATCCCCCTTCAGGCATTATGCCGCATTTTTTTTTTAATTTGCAAAATAAATATTACTTACCTTGACGTATACTTCATGTATTTAAACGCAGTAATAAATTACCGGCAAAGTCTCATCATTTCACGGGGGAAATTTCTAGATGAAACCGTAAGTTCTATGATAATACTTTCTTCTCTCACTCTTCTAGTTTGAAGAATTCTCTTCAGGTTTCTCGCTTTCCAGTCAACTTTGTCGTCAAAAATTTTAATGCAATGCCGATCTCTTTTTTCTGTCTTCTTAATTCCTATTCTTTTATTGATCTCTCTCTTTAATCTTTCATACTCAGTAACCCACTGCATCTTAGTAGCTTTCTTGCCTTGGTTGGTGTGAAATGATTAAAAAACAAAATAAAAAAAAGTAGATGATCTTCGATATCATTCTAGTTGAAAACACCAGTGAGAACTTCCTAGAAATGAAAAGGTCGAATGACAAATAGGCACATTTGTCGATACTGTAGACTTTTTTTTAAAAAAACTAAAAAAACAACCCTATTTTGTGGTAAATGTAAGAGCAATCAGGCATAGCACTGATAGTATTAATACCACCAATTCAACTTCGAGAAGCGTACGACTATTCACTCTTTCATCTTCCACTCTCACTACAACGTTTTCATCACAAATGCAAGTCCCATCCAACCACGACCGGCAGTTGAATCACTAGCTCTCTACCCTTTAATTGATTAGTCTTGTGCTGTGTTCATCTTTGTCTTGTGTCCGCCGCCGCTGGCCATACCACCAGTGGTAATAATGGCGGCCGGCAGCGTAACTTTGTAGCAGACAAGCATCATGTCTTGGTACCAAATTGCTGAACGAGTCGAGGAATTAATTGACTTAATTAATTTAGAGCCATTTTCCAGGGGTCTTATCATTTCGATTTTCATTAAGGCCTGTTCCCAGCGCTCGGCTATCGACCGTGTTTGTGTATGTTCTATCGAAATAAGCAATCAACTGGGGAATGAAGGCAAGGAAGGAAGGAAGGAAGGAAGGAAGGAAGGAAATAAAGAAAGGGGAAATAACAGGAAGGAAAATAAGTGAGAGAGAGATGGAGAGAAAGAGTAAAAAAAAACAAGAGAAACGGAATCGGCCGAGAAAGAAAGAAAGAAAGAAAGAAAGAAAGAAAGAAAGAAAGAAAGAAAGAAAGGTCAATAGAAAAGGAAAAGAAAAAAGAAGAGAAGTGGAAGAAAGTGGAGCAAAAGTGTGCTGCGATGAGGAAAGAGATAAAAATAGACTCGGAAAAAGTGAAAGAAAGAAAGAAAGAAAGAAAGAAAGAAAGAAAAGGAAAAAGAAAAGAGAAAAAATAGAGGTAAAAGAAAATAAAAAAAAGATTTGTTAAAAAGAAGTAAATGAAAGAAAATAAAGAAAAAAAAGAAAGGAAAAGGGCAAACGATAAAGAAACAGTGGTGAAATGAAAGAAGTAGAGTACTATTCATCAAATGTTAAAGGAAAATAAAAAAATAAAAAGAAAAGGAGATGAGAAAGATATGGTTTGCAAAAAGGAAAAGAGGTGATAAAAATTTGGAGAAGAAAGAAAGAAAGAAAGAAATTTTATGAAAGAAAAAGAAAAGGAATGACGAAAGATTAAATGGAAAAAGAAAAAAAGAAAAAAAAAAGAAAGAAAGAAAGAAAGAAAGAAAGAAAAAGAAAAGGAGATGACGAAAGATGAGCAAAAGTGTATTGCAAAAAGGAAAAGAGATAAAAATAGATTTGGAGAAAGAAAGAAAGAAAGAAAGAAAGAAAGAAAGAAAGAAAGAAAGAAAGAAAGAAAAAGAAAACGATAAAGAAGAAGAGGAAATGAAAGAGTAGAGATTAAAGGAAAATAAAAGATAGGAAAAGGACAGAAATATATGGTTGCACAGTGGTGATAAAAATGTCTAAGGAGTAAAATTATGCTATGGGAGTCAAATGTTAAATGGAAAAGAAAAAAAAGAGTGAAAGAAAGAAAGTAGAAAAGAAAGAAAGAAAGAAAGAAAGAAAGAAAGAAGGAAGGAAAACAGTAGAGAACAAAGAAAATGTATGGTTACACATTGGTGATAAAAGATTTAAGCTGACTCCATATTCTGTGGGAGCCAAATCTCCGGTGGAAAATTTCTGGCGATGAAGATGAAGAGTAAATTTTTGTGATCTTGTGACCATGTAGTTTTTCCTTTAACTGTATCAAGCATAAAAGAAATACTGAAAATATTATCAGAGACGTAATATCAAATTTACTAGCAACGGGTTTAATTTATCAATTTAGACTGGGTTAATGTGCTCACGCAATATATATATATATATATATATATATATATATATATATATATATATATATTTATATATATATATATATATATCGCCTCTAAATGTTGACTTCTATGTTCACTTTTATATTTACACACGCTCTATCTCTGATATTGAGCACTTTATCCCAAAAATATAGCACACCTTAAGACTATATTTCTTTATATATATATATATATATAATTACATATTTAAGTAATTCATCGAGTCTGAATGAAAACTCAACAGAATACAGAAAGCACTGGACGGCCGTTTCGTCCTATATTTGGGACTCATCAGCAGTGCGCATCCACTAGCAAGAATTGAAACCCTGACAGTAAACATCATACCAACTGTTCCAATGGGCCTCGGTGACGAAGAGATTGCAAATCAAACTCAATATAGCGCCACATATTCCATGGTGGAACTATTACTGAGTTCTCTGTAACCCTAGGACTGTGCCCCCTGGAGCCACAACTACTCTCACCAAGCCGCTCACTCTATCGTAATACGATCCAATTCATGAATGGGATGAATTGGATCGTATTTACGATTCCAATGGAATAAATTATGACCATGGAATGTTAGTGTTTAAGCCTTTTTTATTATATCCTTACTCTGTCTTGGACATTGAGATCTACCGGGATTCTATCCTCTTGGAATTTTTTTATACAAATATATATGCATGCGGATGTATGTATGTATGTATATATATTTATATATGTTAGATATATGATTGCATATGTATGTGTATATTTTACCACTAATATTATCTATCTATCTATCTATCTATCTATCTATCTATATATATATATATATATATATATATATATATATATATATATAAAACGTTTATTTCTATACGAAATACGCCAATGGCTCGAAGACCTCAATTCATACTTGAAGAGTATAATGATGAATATATATATATATATATATATATATATATGACAAACAGTCTGTCGTTTATATTTCGCATTTATTCTGATCTAGCGCTTTCGACACATCTCAGTCAATATAAGAAATTGTGTATTGTATGTATGACATATACGAATTAAATATATCTTGGTATAAATGATGGATGGTAGGCATTAATAAAGTAGACACTGGTATGCATGGTGTGTGCGAGCAATTAAGAAAATACACTTTGTTATATATACTGTTTGGTTTCGATGGTTTTGCTTTATGGCATATCAATACCTCAGTGGGTTATTTAAGCCGACAAGATTTTCATTGCTGGTAATATTTTTATAATTTGACATAATATTATTTTTGATTTTAAGTAAAGTACAGCGCCTTTCTTAAGGATGCTCATCAAGAAACTGATTCGATCCTTTAGTTGTTTGGTTTTCTTTGTTTTATGGCATATCAACATCTCAATGGGTTATTTAATGCCGACAAGATTTTTATTGCTGGTAATATTTTTATAATTTGACATATTATTTTTGATTTTAAGTCAAGTACGACGTCTTTCTTAAGGTTGTTCATCTTTACATCAAGAAACTGATTCGTTCCTTTAGTTGTTTGGTTTGGTTTGTTTTACGGCATATCAACACCTCAATGTGTTATTTAATGCCGACAAGATTTTTATTGCTGTTAATTTTTTTTAATTTAACAAAAATTATTTTTGATTTTAAGTCAAGTAATATTTTTTTTCAAAAACTCTCCTTTATTTGTTTGGTTTGATTTGTTTTTACGGCAAACCTAATTTTAATACCGACATAATTTTATTGCACATTCCAAAAATGTATTTTAATATTTTTTTCCCCAGTTTTAAAACCTATTTTACACATTCATAGTTTTTTACTATTTTGCTCATAGCTGGGATCCTAAACACTTCCTACCCAGGTCAGTGTAGAACCTGGGAACACCAGTAAATAAGAGATGGTTTAACGCTCCATAAAACCCCTTGATCAACAAAGGCCTTGCTGGGTCTCTTAACTAGCCTATCGTCACGTGGCTTGGAGATTGCATGCAGACATGAAGAAGACTGTCGCTATTAGGGGTTGATCCCTGTGCACACACTGCTGACATTAACATATATATATATATATATATATATATATATATATATATATATATATATATATATATATATATATATATAGAGATACATAGATAGATAGATAGATATTTCTATTTATACGTTATTTTCAGACATACAAAATTTAAGTAAAGGTCTTCTTTATAATGAACAATATTAACTACATTAATTGCCTTAATGTCCGAAAAATTTCATGCAAAAGATACCGTGGTATGCATGCGGTGTGGTAGACATGAGTAAGACATATCTTAGTAAACATGGCTCTTGAGTGGCTCTTGGGCCTTCTATCGGTTGAACAATACATTAAAAGAACTGAATATGTAAAAGAAGGAAAAGTTTCTTCATTATGAACTGATTTTATTTTTTAATCATTTTATCCCAAGCAAGGAAGCAAAGCCACTAAGACGCAAGCGATTACTAGCTTGTAAAGAATAAGACAAAAAAAAAACATTACTAAGAAGAGAAAACAATAAAAGAATAAAAATTTAAAAGACAAAATATAACGATTAGAATGCTAGAGGCTTGAAAAGAGTTCCACAAGCGATAAGTGTGAGAAAAGAAAAAAAACTGTTAGCATAGCCATCTCAACTGTAAAATGATGTGAACCAACTGCCAATCTAATATTGAGCCGTCATATATATGTGAGATATATCTACCAAAAGTCCGTGCTCCTTACAACAGGCCGGGAAGCAGCAAACAGAAAACTGCCAATCCTCAAAATAAAAATGTTGAAGCCAGTTCCTATATTTAATCAAGATAATATTGCCGTCATTATCAAAAACAATCCCATCTGTTTTGGATATTATTGATCCCTGGAGTAAAAAATTATTCAGGCTCATACTTTAGCGAAGTCCAGAATAACCACTAGGATACGACTGGGGCTAACCTGCTTTAGTCCTCAGGGTAAAAAATAACTTCGTTTTAAATAAAGGCACTAACACCAATTTATACTCAGTATTTACTATTAGTATTTAACAATTGTTATCGGAAAGAGCAATACAGATGCAGAAGGACGTGTATCTATGCTTTATAGACTACGCAAATGCTTTCGACAAAGTACGCAACAAGGACCTGCTAGAACTGCTCAACAAACTTGGAAAGATATCAGAATAATCAAGAACCTATACTGGTAGCAAACGGCATGCATGCGTATTGAGAATAAGACCAGCGAATATGCAAAAATAGAAAGGGGCGTAAGACAAGGATGTGTCTTCTCACCGGACTTATTCAACCTATAAAGTGAGGCAATTCTGAGAGAAGTGGAGATCCAACCAGATTTCATCATTGGCGAACACAACCTTACCAACATAAAATAAGCAGATGACAAGGAAAAGAAACTACAAAACCTCCTACAGAAATGCATTTCTATGGTGACAAAGAAAAGAGTTCTGAGCTGCTATCTGTCCTCCTATACGGCAAGGAATGTTAGCCGGTATCCTCAAGGATGAAGAAGAAACTCGAAGCGGCGAAGATGTGGTTCTACAGAAGGATGCTGAGAATAAAATGGACCGAGCATGTGAGCAACGATGAGGTCTTGGAGATGATGCAAACAAGGTGGAAGCTTATGCTTAACATAAGGATAACAGATTTAATAAATCAGTGTAAAATAATGATAATTCCTCATCTCAGAAATAGCCATGATCGCCTGCGCCCTGAAAGGACACGGCACAGAAAAAAAAGAAAAAGAATCATCAACAAATAGAAAACAAATAGATTACATATGTGATGAGTCCCGTATGTAAAACGGATAATAATGGACTGCATAAACTTATTTAACAATAATCAGATATTGACTGATCAAAATCAAGAGACGACGGGAGATTTCACCTACTACAGGGCCCACCAAAGAGCTCTAGAAAGCACGCAAGAAATATCTACGGACGTGTAACACAGCATGATCTATAGTATCTCAAACTATCATATATGTCTACAATAATATGAAGCTTATTAGAATTAAAATGTACCTAGTATATTTTGTTTTAAGTGATATATACGACCATTTTACGGCTGGGCCTATTAACTAGCCCATCGTAACGTGGCCTGAAGATTGCATTCAAACATGAAGAAGACTGTCATCTTTTGGGGTGATCTCTGTGCAAACACTGCTCATATATATATATATATATATATATATATATATATATATATATATATATATATATATATATATATATATATATATATATATATATATATATATATATATATATATATATATATATAGTCGGCAGAAGTTCATGTTTGTAGCTCTTTCTTTTTTTTAAACCTTTTTTTCCCTCGAGATTGATTTGATTATTAGCAAATAAAAAAATCTAGGGTTTTTCGAAACGAGTCTAGTTATCTAAAATTATATATATATATATATATATATACACACACACACACACATACACACACACACATATATATATATATATATTGAGAAAGGGTGGCTCGAGTTCCACGCTCACGCGACTTTCAGACAACTTGAACGGAAATGAAAAATGGGATGGGCAAGCTTTTTATAACGCGTCTAAAGCCATATTTCATAACATTTAATGCCGTTCCGCATTTTTGGCTCAGCTGAGGCCA